GTGAGGGGAAGGGAGGGAAATGCACGGGACTATGGTGGTGGCACAGGGGTGATTTGGTGATGGGAAACCCGCGGGGATTACAATCGAGATGGGAAAAAAAAAATGTGCAAAATGATGTAAAAATAAACTTTGTAATAATAAAAAAAAAATTGATAGGTTTTCCAAAAGAACCCAGTAAGACATACATAGAATTATAGAATCTTTAAGAGATAAAACTACATTTCGTATCATCCAAACCCCCCAATAAATCTGGAATCTTCTCTTTAATAACCTTGATAGGATCACTCATTCAGTCCCACCTTACAGGGAGCCAATTCACAGACAAGGCACTCATTAAATTCAAGGCAGCCCATAATATTTTGGGATAGTGCTAGAAACTTCTGTTTTACTGGACTCATAGCTACCTTCCTGTAACTTGATTCCACTGGCCCCAATTCTGAACTCTGAATAACTAATTCATTTTCCACATGACATACTTTTAAAGACATACCTTTAAAGTAGCAACTATATACAAAGCACTGTTTTATGCTTTACTTATCTCATTAATTCTCACAAGAGCCCTGCAAAGAAAGGCTCCATACTGTAAAAGAGCAAACTATGACTCAAAAAAGTTGAGTAACTTTCTCAATCAAACAAGCAGGCAAATGGCAGAGCTGGAATTCAAACCCAGGTCATAATTGCTCTCCACTTCTCCTCTCCAGAGATCCAGCCATATGTCTTCATGCAACCTAGGGTGAGCTTACTTGACATTAAAATCATAGGGTTGTTCAAGCAAGACGCCTGAAACCTAAATTCCCAGTTCTGCCACTTAATAGTTGTATAACCTAAGGTAAATTACTCTCTCTAAGCGTCAATGTCCTCCTCTATAAAAACAGGGTTAACAGGCTTGCTGCGAGGGTCAGTGAGGTAACTCTCCTAGGTACAGCAGTGCTGGCGCGGTAAATGCTTAGGAAGTGACAGCTATTATTCCTGTGCTGCCATTTCTACTGCTGCTGTCCTAATTATTCTGCCATTATCATTGGTGGTGGTGACAGTCTTGCAGTAACAAAAATGAATTCAGTAATAGAGAACTGTTTCCAGCAGTGTGGGAGGATTGGGGCTAAAGCCACCCTTGTTTAGATTTTGGGGCAATCATAGAAGAAAAACAGAATCTTCAAAGGAAAATGGGCCTGACTACATAAAAATGAAATTTTTAAATTTTTTCAATAGTCAAAAACTAATATAAAGGAAAAGGCATCTAACAAAATACACATGACATAATAAATATAATATACTCTTTTTTTTTCAAATACCAAATAAAGCAATGAAAACAGAAATTTTCTAAGAAACAGAAAAAAAAAACTTCATGAGGCAAATGGTTCAATAAATAAATGAAAAAAAATTCATTTCACTATTTTTCAAAGAAAATACCACAGTTCTTCACCTATCGAACCAGCATGGGTTTGCTATTGTTTTTGTTGTTGTAAATAATACTAGTTTCAATGAAAAAAATGGGGAAACTGGCATTCTCATACACCGCTAGCAGAAAGATAACTTGGTGCCACGGCAGCAACTAGGTAGATGCATGACAGAATCCCAACCTAAAAGGGCCATGCTCTTCTGCTGATTGATTTCACTTCATGGGATGAAAGAAATAAATGGAGTTCTACAACGATTTATGGATAAAAGGTTTATAAAAGTATTATGATATTTTAAAACTGGATACAATCCACGTGTCCAATAATAGGACAGGTTAAATTAATATGGACATTGAACCATTTTTGCATTTTAATGCAGCCATTAAAAACTACATTCTCAAAGAATATTTTCAATCTTATTAACATCTTCACAACATGTTTAAGTGAAAGAGCAGATTCTAATACCATCCATACGGTATGATCCCAGTTATATCTGAAAAAATAAAATACACCTACAATTTAAAGAGATGCATAGACAAATGGGGGTGGTTGTCTCTAGGTGGTCACAGTGCGCAGGACTATTACAGTCTTTCTAGAACTTTGACTTTTTTCTTAGTACCCAAATATTCTACAACAAATATCTACTGCTTCTATAAAATTTTAAAAATGTAAATATTAATTATGCTTTGGCGATGCATTCTGACCAAAATTAAATTGCCTCCTTATGATCACTTTCACCTTCTATTACTAATAAACCATCTCTTAAATAATCTATTGTAGAATTTGCTAGGAATTAACATAAAATGTATCTGGAATTCATCTACCCACTTTAGTACAATGCAGTCTACCACAGGGCTTCACTCTGTTGCTCAGCAGTTTCCAGCAGTGGGTCCATGACCAGGTTATCTGCCCGTGCTTCTGGACACCTGGCTCTTACTCAGCCTCCAGAACTCAATCCAGACATTCATAACCTTTATGAAATTTTCCAGTGGAATAAGAAGTATGCTACCTCTTCAGGGCTACAAAGTCACACACATGAAATATTTCTCCACCATTAATCACATTGTTGAAATTCAGTTTCCCATTCTAAGGAATGATCTCAAAAGTATAAACATTGTGATCTATTAATCTACTTATCTCCAGTAACCACACAAAAGTAAAGAATTTTAGTTTAGTTAAATCAACGAATAAAAGAAAAGTTTCCCGGCCTCCCTGGTGGCACAGCAGGTTAAAGCACAGCACAAAGAAGCTTAAACCACTTCCGCATGAGTTCTATGCCTGCCTGCCCGGGAGGTGACCACAAGGTGCGGCAGACCTCTCCTGAGCCGCCTTCCCGCTGCTCCCCTCAGCAGTGTACTTTGTCGATGTGTCTGTTCTACACCCCACTCTGTCTCTGGTGAATCCTCTCACCCTCCGCATCTCTGGCCTGTACCCCAGTTCTGTACGAATAAATAAATAAATCTTTAAAAAAAAAAAAAAAGAAAGAAAAGTTTCCCATAAGTGAACCTGAACCATGGCTAATTCTAATCCTAACTATCAGTGATGTTGAGGAGTCCTACCTCTCTTGGATTAGTCCCCATTTTTAGGCTGACAGGGACCTCCACAAATGAAGACGGTAGACAGGTATCATCAATGAAGGCCATTTTAAAACAGCTCTTGGGAAAGAATCACCTCTTCCCTCACCTTCCCACTACAAACCTATCCCACAGTAGCAGTAACAATTGTGAGCCTTGCATTTCATTGTTCTCATGCCACAAAAGACACATACCACAGGCAAATCTCCATCATCTTCCTCATCCTCCTTTTCAGGTTTAGTGGTGGAGATAGAAGTCCAGCTCACATCATCATCTACAATCCGCATTCTAAATGTGGGAAATAAAAAGACCAAGACTTGTTTTTGAGTATCAGTTGACAAACATACACTGGTTTTAAGCTCAAAATCCTACAAGATAGCCTGGCCTTTCCCTACCTAGCGAATTTCTTCTTGTACACTGCCCTCTATGTTCACTACCTTATCTCTTGGTGGCCAGGATGAAACCAATTCCCTACCACATCAGTTCTTCAAATATGCACACCTTCCCTCTGCCTGACCAAATCTTCTCATTCTTTACTGGGAAATTCTTATTCTTTAGACCTAGTGTGTGTGTGTAATTTCCTTGAGCATACCTTCCTCAACTACCTCTTTTCTCTCCCTAAGTCATTCTTGGAATACTTTCATTATTTATATATACTGATCCATTGGCTGTTTAGAGAATGTATCCCCATTTCTCTATAAAACATATTCAGAATAGGGACTATGCCTTTCTCATTATAGTGCATCCTCAAAATCCTGCAATCACGCAGAGGGAGTATTCAATAAAGGTTTGTCAGAAAGATAAACTATGGATGATTCCAAATGATAACCACTGGCATGGTGGGAATTACTATTTTAAAAGCTCAGATCACTTTACATCTCTCTAATCACAATGACCATTTAATGTAAGTAAGATAATACTCTCATTTCAAAGATAAGCAAACTGAGATTCAGAGAGATGAATTATTTTGCCTAGGGTCACACAGTTCATAAATTAGTAAAGCTTGGATTCAAGTACTGATCAGTATTGCTTCAAAACTCAAGCTATTCTCACTACATGGCACTGCCTCCGAAGAAACCACACAAGTCAGGGGGCAGGAGGACAACTAGCAAGAATAATGCAAGAACCAATCTAAGAAATCTAGAAATGAAGTGAGCATGGAACTACTCTTTGGAACTATTTGACCTTGCTGTATATTAGCTTCCTAGCACTACTAAGCACCGCAAATTAATGGCTTAAAATTCTCTCAAAGTATGAAATCAGTGCCTCATCCAATTTCTGGAAGCGTCAAGTACACCCTGGCTACTGGTAGCAACATCCAGCAATCTCAGCCTCCATCTTCACACAATTGTTTTACCTGTGTGTCTGTGTCCAAACTGCCCTCTTCTTAAAAGGACACTAGTCGTGATGACTTTAGTGTCCATCCTAATTCAGTATGACTTCATCTTATCAATTTATGTCAGAAGAGACCCTGTGTCCAAATGTCACATCCGAAGCTTCTGGGTGAACCTGACTGGGATGGAAGTGGGGATGAAACTTCAATCCAGTACACTAGTTCATGAAAACCGCCTCCTTTGCAAAAGCGGGGGTGACAGCAATGCCTACTCCATGACGGTGCTGTGAAGCTTAAATAAAGTCACGTCTGAAGCACTTCGAACAGTGCCTGCCACAGGTCAAGAACTTGCTAAATGTCACTTATTGGGAATGTTAGGAGTAACAGGAAGTGAGCATGGTCTCTGCTCACTGCGAACCAGAGCCCTTGGGATTGAAGAACTGCCACAAAGAGAGTCTGAGCTTCCGACACCCAAGCACGGATGCTCTGAACTGCTCCACGATCATTCTAGGGACACGCATTCATTCTCCCTGGGACAGAGCTGACGGCTACGAAGGCGGGAAAGGGGGTAACGAGAGTTACTGCCGCGCTTGAACACCTTCGGGGCGATGCCGGGGGACGCACGCAGCGGCCCGAGCTCCCCAGGCGCTCCGGCAGGGTCGGGACAGGCAGCGGCCGAAGGCGCGAAGGGGGCCAGAGCCGGGGGCCCAGAGCCAAGCTGGCCAGCTGAGGGGCCGCGAGGCGCAGCAGGCCGCCCCCGTCGCGACCAACTCACCCTTTGCCACCGGCCCCGCCTAGCTTCGGCCGCTTTTTGCGACGCTTGCGATTGGCCTCAGGGCCCCCGCCGACGGCGGCATCTGCCCCGGACAAGTAACGCTTCAGATATTCGGCCTTGGAGAGCGGCGGAGCTGCCGCCATGGCAGCGGCGAGGGCGGGGAGACGGCGCGGCGCTGGGGACAAAATTCCTCGACGCAAAATGGGTGGCGTCGACCTGAGGGGGCGGGGCCTGGGCCGGAAGTGGCGGAGTGTGCTGGGACCCGCCCACCCCACGAGGGACACGGGCCTGCGGCGGACTTGCGTGCCCTGGAGCCCTCGCCAGGCTGGATCTTGGCCAGTGTATGTGTCCCCCTTCGGTTCACTCGCTAAGACCCCAGCGAGATCCCTGCTCCCGGGTAGCGTCTGAAGCACCCTAGTGTGGTAGTTGCAATGCAGGCCCTGGCGTTGGAGGTCTGGTTCCATGCTCTCCTGGCTTGTACAGTCAGGGGCAAGTTATTGAACAAAATCTGCATCATACTAGCAGCTCACTGGATCGTTCTAAGAACTTTTGTCACGTTTGGTATTCTATTATGGGTAGCCCCGAAGGTCCTGGATCTACTTTCGGCACAGCAAGAGGGAAAAAAGAAGACAATTCTAATTCTCAAGGTCTGGGGGTAGAAAAAAATTTTCTTGTGGACATTACGATCTTTCCATGAGTTATCCTACTTAATCCTCACAATTTACCCTTCTTTTACAGAGGAGAAAAGACTGAAACTTGGAATTAAGGGAGTTGCCCAGTTTCACAACCAAAAGACAACTCTTGGGAACAGGCTGACAAAATGGGTGCAAGACATAATCCGAATATTTTTAAGTAGAACATAGATCTGTAAATCACATCACATGCAAATTGAAGTTTTTTTCACTATTGTAAGTATGTTAGCCGTGAAGGTAGGTATAGTTTGTAATGTGCATATCTGGGGATACATGTTTATAAAATACTTAAACACACTAGAATGGTTTGGCAATTCCTGATCTCAAGCTATAGGGCCCTTGATGGTGGCACAGTGGGTTAAAGCACAGCACTGCAAGCTAGCCACAGCAGCCTTCAGTTCGACCCCAATCCCTAGATCCCCAGAGGGGGAGGTGACCTACATGGCATGGCAGGCCTCTCCTGTCCCCCCACTGCCCCCCTCAGCAGTGTACTTCATGGATCTGCCTGTTCTGCTCCCCACTCTGTCTCTGGTGAATCCTCTGGCTTGTATCCCAGTTCTGGATGCGTTAAGTAAATCTTCAAAAAAAAAAAAGAGTGAACTAGCTATATGGCATGGTCACCACACAGGCACAGGAAGAAAAGCAGACTGAGTCTGAGGTCTCATGAAAAGGGAACGCTAGCAAAAGGGCTTCACTAGCTGGAGGGCCTTCACAGGCACCACATGTACCCCATACAACCCTACCTTGGCTTCAGGTCTATTGTGGTGTATCTGAAGCCCAGCCGCGGCCCTGCTGCTGGCAGACACTTCTGCTCCAGTTAATATTACCAGCAATTTCAGCCCCAAGGACTGGACTCATCTCCTGCCCACTTGTCTTCAGTTGTACCTATTCTACTCCGTAACCAACCTTAGCTTGACCAGACCCAAGGGCAGCTAAGCAGGATCAAATGGATTCATGTCCAGTGGCATGGTCTGAGTCTGGCCCTCTCTAGACTGTAATCCCATCTAATAAAAAAATGGAGTCATTCTACTCAAAATTTTCAGAACTCAGGTTCCAGCCTGGTCTGGCTCTGAAACCTGCCTCTTAGAAGCTTACCTTCCTTCTAGAAGTTCTCTAGCCTCTCTGAAGCTGTTTGCTCACCTTTAAAATAAGGCTATTTCTATAGCTACTTTTTCCCAGAAGGGGTTTAAAAGAGAAACTAGAATTTCTGTGATTGTAAGAGAAAATGCAAATAAAAGCACCTCACGGGCCTTCCCTGGTGGTGTAACAGATTAAAAGCACAGCACTACAGCTGCTTCAGCACAAGTTCGATTCCAGGGAGGTGATCCATATGACGCAGCAGCCCTCTCCTGTCTCGCCTGCTGCTCTCCTCAGCAGTATATTTCAGTACATCTGCCTTTTCCGCTCCCCACTGTCTTTGATGAATCCTCTCACCCCCTGTACAGTTAACAACTCACTAGTCCCCACAAAAACTCTTTGAAGTAGGTACCATTATCATCCCCATTTTGCAGATGAGGACTGAAGCAGCCTGTGGGGTGTCAACACTAACGCATTTTCCAAACTCTGAGGTATGCACACAGAATTAGCCCTCTTTTCAGTTAAAAAACTGCCACTGTTGGCCCTCCCTGGTGGCACAGCGGGTTAAAGCACAGCACTAAGAAACTTAAGCCATTTCCGCATGAGTTCGATCCCCACCTGCCCGGGAGGAGATCCACATGGCGTGGCAGACCTCTCCTGACCCGCCTGCTGCTCCCCTCAGCACTGTACTTCGTCGATCTGCCTGTTCTGCTCCCCACTCTGTCTCTGGTGAATCCTCTCAGCCTCCGCATCTCTGGCCTGTACCCCGGTTCTGTATAAATAAATAAATCTTTAAAAAAAAAAAAACAAACAACTGCCACTGTCCTATCAATAGAAATGCATAAAAACTTTTTAAAATAATAAAGCCAAGCAGCCTTAAATACCTCGGCTCTCATTTAAGCAGATTCCATTTCCTGTCATGTGCAACAGGTACTGACATACCTCAGGTATAAAGATGATGTATTACAGATTCCATTTCCTGTCATGTGCAACAGGTACTGACATACCTCAGGTATAAAGATGACGTATTAACGATGTTAAAGCTGTATTGAAGCCCAGCATTCGTGCTTTATTAGCAATTGACTGCTCTTCATACTTTCCATCATGCACCTTAGATGAACACTTAAAACTACCAGTGTTCAAGCTGTATTTAATATGCTTAAAATGCAAGTACTCACAAAAGAATTCTCCTTTCCCATTTTCATATAACCACAAATTTTTCCATCTAAAATTTATCCTCAAGGCTGTGAAACTGAATCTACATGTTCTTGAGCTGACACTTTGCCTGCCTCGCCTCTTTTGACCTTAGAGCCGGGCCCTTCCCACACCTGTTACCTACATGCTACCTCCAGTTCCCTAACAGAAGCATACCTGGATGAACTGTGTGCATCTGAGGATCATTAACTACATGCCGCCTGCTAGAGGTTGGAAACTCGGTTATGTAAGCGCCACCCCCTGCCGGGTTGTATGGAACAATGCTTGAGGACTATGGAACCAAATACAGCCAGACCAGAGCAGGAAGAGCCTTAGCTGACTTTCACAGTGTAGCAATAACTTGTCCTCAGTCTACAGGCTCAGAACCTAGGGCTATTACTCCTAATAACTAGATTAGTCTAAAGACTGAATTATGCCAACCAAACACACATGACTCAGTGAGCCAGAGCCTTCCCATACAGGTCAGGTGGCTAGGAAACAGTTTCCAGTCAGATGGCATACATCTGCAGGGCACCTGTTAGGGCAGAACAGTTGCTTATGAGAAGTCTATGCAAGTGCTGTATGCTGTATTTATTTGTTTGTATCTTCTTAGTCCTCATATGAACACCAGACTTTGCCTCACAGAAATTAGACACAGGTATCAAGTCAGCCCTACTTGAAAATACTAAGATGTCAAATAAGGAGTATCTCAAAGCAAAACCTGTAGAAACAAGTACATTTAAGAAAGAAGAAGGTAGTTTCCTAAGGGAAAAGTAGGGGTCCAGTGTCACAGCAGCAAAGAGGAGGGCTGAGAGGGCAGTCCAGTCAAATCTGACAGAAAGAGAGCATTCCCCACGTGAAAATTCTACTTGTGACTTTTGGAAATAGTTTAACAGAGCAATGGGTGTGACAGCTAAGTCACCTGTAACCAGGCAACTATTCAGATTTTTTAGCACATGGCAATAAAGTCTGCCACAGCATCCTAACCAGTAACAGGTCTTCACTGAATGAATACCCAGCAGCCAGCACCGCAGTTATCACTGGTTACGGCAGTGCAGAAAGTACCAGAATGGAGTCCAGAGTCCTTAACTTCCTGCCAGTGACCGAGAGACCAGGGGATCACAAGTGCCCGCCGACTCTAACACTCCAGTTTCCATGTGCTCTCCCCATGCCTAGCGGTCTCTCCCCCCAACTATCCATAAGGCTCCCTCCCTCACCTCCCCCTCAGCTTTGCCTACATGTCAAATTATCACCTTCCCGACTACTCTATTTGAAACACCTGCCCCCGCCTTTCCTGACACCACCCATGCCCTTTCCTGCTTCACATTCCCCCAGAAAACTAACCACCATCTGACATACTGTTTTACTTTTGGTTTATTGTCAAACCCAACCCACTCTGTTTGCCCATTTTTCCCTGCTATTCTTTAAGCTCCACAAAAGCAGAGCTTTATTTTGCTCACTTTTCTGTAGTGTGCCTGACACAAAGTAAAGCATTAAACATCTACTGACTGAATGAAACACCAGCTCCAATCTCCAAATTACAGAGGCCACATTGGGAAAAAACTTCTTGAGGAGACTGGATTGTATCAGCAGGTTATCAGACATGAATCCAGAGGCAAGCGATGAAAGTCATTTTAATGAGAGCATCTTCACTTATCCCGAGCTCCCTCTGCTCAGAAGAGTTAGGCTGTTGACAGACGTTGTATATTCAAAATCAACTCCCAAACTCCAGGTATACCTTGAACTTCAGACTTGCAACCCTTGAGAATCGTGTGTTACGTGGAGGAAAGGCAAATACTTAATAGCAAAAGCAATAATGACATGCCCCATGGTTCATTTCTGGGTTTCTTCCCAAGCTAGGCCAAAACCTCCAAAATAAGGTCAAGGAACCAGACAGGATTACACGTGCATCACGTGCCCAGACCTCAGGCTCAGACAGGTGACTTCTCTGCATGAGCAATGCCTAGTAGGGCGGACACGCCCAGCCTTCTTCAGTAGTAACAGGTAACCCTGGGGTCTGAGTGGCGCCGCAGCTGGCCCAGAAACCTGGCGCCGCTACCGCTGTGGGGCGAGGCCTGTCTCATAGCCCTCCGTCTTCATGTCATTGAGCCCTAGGTCCTCATTCTGGTCAAATGTGCGCTCGTAATGCTCCATCTTCATCTCAGGATCTTCCTCAGGTG